AACTGGATTTGTGCTGGATTAAGGGAAAGCCGGTTTCTGGACATCTGAATCTGAATTTGTCAGGTCTAATTGCACAGCATGGAAACTACATCCTGGGAACCACTGTAAAATCAAATACATGTTGGAAAAGAAGGCCAACTCGTACTGTGCATAACAGATGGAAGCAGGAGCATATATGTGTTAAAAAGAATTGGCAACAGTCTGGAACATCCTCTTTAATAATGTAGTAAGCCTGCAGATAGACAGTAATTCAGATGTTCAGACTGGGACTTCTACCAACATGACATACTCACGCCACAGTTACCTGCATAGTCATCCCATCTGCTACAATGACATGGTACCCTGCTCACACCTCATTTGGCTCAGGGGGCGCCAAGCAAATGTAGGTGTAGATGGAAAATACCATAACTGCAATCACTTACTACAGCTCCCTTTTTTGTGAGAGCACCAAAGCACTGGCTTGAGAGTCCTTTTATCTTTTGTTGCAAACAATGGAAGAAAGGAAGGTACCAAAGTCAAAAGGAAGAAGTGAAGTTCATAGATGGCAGGATTGAAGTTGACAGAGTTATTATCAGCTGGTGCTAGTGAGCAGCATACCCATATCCATCTGAGGGCTGTCCAGCTTGTATGAAGCCTATGAGGGCTTAGCTTGTGTTTCCCCAGCCTACTGGTCCGGGAACTGTTCCCTCCACTGCCTCCCCTGCCATCTTTCTGCTGCTGCTGTTTGGGTCTTTGGGCTTGCACTCCCCACCACCAGCTTTTGCTTCCTGCTTCCACCCCTGGTAGGGGAACACCCTTCAGGGCCCAGGGAATCTGTGTTCTGGGTACTTGGGGGGCCAGGGTGTTCCCTAATACGGCATGGTGCAATGCAGCATGGAGGCCTGGGAGATATCTGCTGTGCAGCATGTGGTTTGCAGATGTTTGTGGCCTGGGGGCATGCAGAAGTTGGACCCTGCCCCAGCTGAAGGAAAGGTCCAAGACATGTAAGGTAGTTACTGATAGGGAGAAACATGCTATTAAATTGTATTCCATTAAGCAAAATCAAGAGGAAAAAATACACCTGAAAGTGCTGATATTATATAATTATTGATAGTAAGGCTTTTTTTTCAGTGCTTTCTGTCTTCTCACTTTGATCCTTTTTGAAACAGGACATTATTGATTGTTGACAATACATAGCTTGCTACACTGATGCAAATAGACCATATTTTCACACCTGGATGCATAATCTTAAGCATTTATACCCTTACTTTGATCGCCAGATATCTGGCCTAAGTTTTATAAGGTGTTAAACATCTATGACACCCCCCACACACACACTGACCTCCTTGCAAATTGGACCATATAATTTGATTATTATTGGTTATTAGCTGCTAGATTATTTGAAATGTACTCATTTCAGTATAGAAAGGTGGCTATCATTAACACTGGGTGTCTTTGGAAAAGGAACAGTTTCATTTTGTTTTTCTTACTACAATGGCAAAGAAATAATGGATAATTGGGTGTGTCTGCATGAGACATTTAACTTCGCATTCGCATAGTTTACTGTGAAGTAAGCATGTGCATCTACATGTGCACATGCTTACTTTCCAGTAAACGTCCCTAATCCTGAGTAAATTTGCCAGCTGCAAATGAAAGTAGCAGATTTACTCAGGATTAGTAATGGCGCCATAGTACTCATGTAGATCATAGTTTCTCAACCTGTGGTACGTGTACTCCTGGGGGTATGCAAAACACAGGCAGGGGATATGTGGGTACCCCAACACTCTCTCTCTTGCCCTCTTTTCCTCTCTCTCTCTCTCACCCTCAAAACTATGGCAAAAAGTTTGGTGCAATTAAAAAAATTAAATTCCCCAGTAATAATTTGGTGTTCAGCCCTCCTCGCTTTGGCCAGCATCACCTCTAGCCCAGGTACATGCTTGAGTTGTGCACCCCTGGTGCAAAAGGTGGCAACCCTACCCACACCAGGTCAGACATCTGTCATATCACGGCCTTATATACACAGCCCTTCTTCTAACATATGGCACACATTAGTCTGCAAATATAAAATCCCCTGGAAAATTGAATGTTGGGGTACTTATTAAAATTTTCAGAAGTTAGGGGGTACTTGCTACTTAAAAGGTTGAGAAACACTCAGGTAGGTGACAGATTGGGAGTAAAATTGGCTCCCAGTCAGCCATCTGGTAGGAGGTAGGAGATAGCTCCCTGCCCATGGGAGCTGGCTGCTGCCAGGATGGGCTCTGCTGCAGGAGCCCAGATGACGACTATGTCCCCCTGCCCTGGAAGCAGGAAGCTCCAAGCGCCCTGCTCCCAGATCGTGACTGGGGAGTGGGGCGGGGAGACCCTTATGTGCCAGCCTGAATCCCATAATGATGAGTCTCAGGCCAGGAGATAAGGGTCTCCCAGGCCATACCTCATTCATGACTGTGGAGCAGGCTCTGGGAGCTCCCTGCTGGCAGAGGCAGGGGCAAGGGCAGGGGATCCTGTTCCCCACCCAGCTCTGTGAGCATGGAGTGGGGGAGGGAAATGCAGTATGTCTAAAGAAAATAAGATTTCTGTAAAAAAAAAAAACCTTTGTAGGTTAATAATTATCAACGTAGATAACGAAATTAAAAAAACCAAATTAAATAACATTATTTAATGTTACAATTTCTGTTTACAGTTGCTTAGGAATTTATTTAAAACATAGCAGGTAATTTATTATGGAATAATATATCTTTCTGGATAAAATATTCTGTATTTGAATTGAATATTTTGATTAATTTGTATACAGAAAAATCATACTCCTTCATATAAAAGTGTATTAGATTTTTGGACGATAGATGTCACTGTTCAGTCACACAATGGAACGCTGAAATAGCCTTGTGTTCACGTAGTGACCTTTCCACACTATTTTCAGATCAAATCATTTTCTAGCATATAATAAATCATTATCACTTCTGCATCCTTTAGGCCCTCAATTGTGTCTACATTTCTTAATGGCCATAGAATGTCTGAATGCAGTATGCATAGTATGGGGAGTGGGATCTGTCCTTACCAATGCTGTATAGTCACTGTAACACAGGCAACAAAAATCTGTTTTGTAACAGTTAGAGTTTTCTAATAGGCCTAGGACAGCATCTAACAACTCTGGATTTTTGGTAAGTTCTTAAAATAAATATTTCCATTTAACTGATAGTTAGAACAAATAAGTCTGCTACATAAGGCCTTCAAGAATTGCATACAACTGTATTTTTTATGTTTGTAGTTCTGGTACCCTGAAAACTCTAATGTTTCTATCTCCAAATTTGTTATAAGGTTGACAATCACTGTGTTAATCTGAGCACCTAGTTCATCTCCTTTATGTTAAAAATCAGTCTGCCAAGCATTTTCTCAAAGGCCTTGTTCCCATCTGTGAACTGAACTAGGACAGTGATTGAACGGAGTGAAATGAGCTCATTCAACACATGCTTCAACACATCCACCCCATCCATACTGAACTGAGTTTGTCTCAAGTCCGCCACCAGCACCGTCCATATCATGCCAGTTGTTTACCCCTCATGATACCTATCTCATAATTCAGAAATCAAGCAATATAAGATGATAGTAGGAAGGCTAGTTTGATTATATCCGTATTTTTTTGTCCAACTTGGTCCTAAATTGGTTCAGTTTTAACCCAGTATTAAATCCATAAAGGCACCTTAAACTGCTATTTAATCATTTCTAGCCCATTTGGTTTATTCTGAAATGCTGACACAACAGCTACATTTGAAACCTGGCTGGGGATTTTCACACTTGCTTCTTTCAGGCACCCAGATCTGCTACGTCCTAGCTGGAAAACTTCAGCCAAAGAGATTTCCAGGTGTGCCAAGGCTTTTCTTTTTTAATTTCTCTAGTTAAAGAATCCTTTTCACCATCAGATCTAAAGTTGCTGACCTTACAACACCTCTTACCCCTACCCATCTGAGAAAAAAGGGACCCAAATTTGAAGGCCTAGTTCACAGTGTAAAATAAAGCACAGCCAGTAGACTGCTGGGTGACCTGATTAATCAAAATGTTTCTGAATTATTAACGGCATCATGGAGTGTAACAACAATAGGAGAGAGCAGTAATAGGATTGAATGGAAGGAGTGTGACCTGGCAGATGGAGCAGGGGATTATGACAGGCTTCAGAAACTCTTGAGTTGTGGTTCTGATTCAGCCACAGCTTTTCAGTATAAGACAGTGCAAGAAACTTGGGATCAGGACTCTGATCTCACTCCCATACTACTGCACTCTGCTCCACTCCCCTGCAGTGTACTTGTACTGGTTTATACCAGTGTCTAATTCATCTGTTTCTTAATTACATGCTGCCCCAGTTCTGCCATGAGCACTGAGTGTCATAATGCTTTCCCACTTCCCTCAGGGATTACTTGTTTCAGTCTTTGTTGCCAAAGCATGCACAGCTCTGTAGATGACACTTACTATAGACACATTCAGTATCATTATCAACTTTACCTTTCTGTAACTGGCTTTTTGATCCGTGTTGCCATCCTTGGGAGTGGCAGATTTGAAAACTGTTTCTAAAGCTCTATAAATGTTTCTTTATTCTGTGCAGAAACCCTGAGGTGAAATGCAGACCACTACTGCAGTCCATGTGCATGGTCTTTCTTTTCCAGAAGTTTGAAATGTTTCAGTGAATGAAGATGTCATCTTTTTAAAAACCTAAAAATAACAGTTGTTTATTTCTGGTGGCTAAGGATAAATTTTTACCTATGAGGAGGTCATCTTCTTATGATCAAAGCCAGAAAACATGTGCCATTGCTTCTTGAGTCCCATTAGCTCAGAGGTCAGTGTCTTACATGGTCCAAGCACCACAAGGATGTAAACTTCTGCAAAGGTGGGAGTGCCGGATGCATGCACATGCTAGAATTCCCATGTACCTCCTTGACTCAGATTAATACCCGAGTGAACTAATGATATAATTAGACTCAATAATGCATCATGTATTTGTAGGCTTCTGATTCTTTTTTTTGTTTCCCCAGGTTATCAATGCAGTTGCCTCTCTCAATACACGGGAAGAAACTGTGAATCGGAAATTACAGCCTGTTTTCCAAATCCATGTCGAAATGGAGGGTCATGTGATCCCATAGGCAATGCCTTCATTTGCAACTGCAAAAGTGGGCTAACAGGAGTAACGTAAGTGAGCTTATTCCAGAGTGTGAATGTAGGGTCTGAATTATCTTAATAATAGGGCTTTCTGTACAGGATATATGGTACTCCAAGCCAGTGGTACGTAAAACCATATGACCAATGCAGGTGGCTTACTCAAAGCCCTGGTTAACACACCCAAGAAACCTGCAAGGTCAAGGTTTTAAAAATGGGTATCCCATAAAGCAAGTGGAAGGTGATGTTTTTGAAAATCGGGTCACCCTGATTAGCAAGTCCCTGCCCCCCCACTGACTTAGGAGCCTACGTTAATGCTGTGGAAACAAACCCCTATAATCAGCCTCTCAGTTTTCTGCTTTTATCACCCATCTCTTCTGTTTTTTGTTAACCTCTTTGCTTACCAGTTTTCTTCTGTGTTTCAAATTCTAGTTTCCAGTTTTCTGCCCTCTCTAATATTTACATATCCTGTTGCCAGTCCTACATAATGTTATCAAATCATTATTACCCACTCTTTACACTTATTAGTCCGTATAATTTGGTTTAATATCCTACAGGAGAATCCAAAACACCTGCAGAAAAGTAAGCATCTTTCACTGCATTTTGTGTCCCTGATTCCACACTTAGTTGTTCCATTTTTTTTCTTTTTTTCTTTTTTTTTTTTGGTGGGGGGGTGTAACTTACTAAAATCAATAGTTGCACCAACATAATACATGTCCTCTTATATCAGAGCTTTTTCCTGAAGAGAAGAATTAAACAAGTATCTTCCCTGTATATTTTCTTGTCACTTACATAAAAAGCAGTGGAATTATTTTCTACTTCTGGAAGGTTTTAAATGTCATAATGTGGCTGGATAATAATATGATCATTTGTCAAGAGTTGACAGGGTATAAAACACAACTGCTATCTTGACAACTTAAGTAATTAATCATGGGCTGTGTTGTTTGCTAATTATTTGTATCCACAACTTGCTCTTTTAAGGTGTGAAGAAGATATCAATGAATGTGAGAGAGAGGAATGTGAAAATGGTGGCTCCTGTGTCAACATTTTTGGTTCATTTCTATGTAATTGCACTCCTGGGTATGTGGGACAGTATTGTGGGCTTAGGCCTGTTGTGGTACCCAACATCCAAGCCGGACACTCCTATGTTGGAAAGGAAGAGCTCATAGGAATATCAGTGGTTCTTTTTGTCATCTTTGTGTTGATCGTCTTGTTTATAGTTTTCCGCAAGAAAGTATTCAGGAAAAACTATTCACGTAACAACATCACCCTGGTGCAGGACCCAGCTACTGCTGCCCTGCTCAACAAGAGCAATGGGATCCAGTTCAAAAACATAAGGAACAGTGGGGACAGTAGGAATATCTACCAGGAGGTTGGGCCGCCTCAAGTTCCTGTGAGGCCAATGGCCTACACGCCTTGCTTCCAGAGTGACTCGCGGAACAACTTGGACAAGATAGTTGATGGACTTGGAGTTGAGCATCAGGAGATGACAACTTTTCACCCAGAATCTCCTCGAATATTAACAGCAAGGCGGGGTGTGGTGGTGTGTAGTGTGGCTCCCAATCTGCCAGCCGTGTCTCCCTGTCGATCAGATTGTGACTCCATCAGGAAGAGTACCTGGGATGCTGGGACTGAAAGTGAGTAGTGTGGTAGACAGCACATGATGTGTAGTGTTTCCTTTCTTTTCTGTCTCATGCAATAAGAGCTCTTATCAGTGCAGCTCAAGGTTGGCAGAATGAACCAGCCTGTGCTATGAGGTTAATGTTTTACAAGGTTGATGAAAAACCCTTAATGAAGCTTGTTTAAAGCAATGGGATTAATGCACTTGTACTTGTTACATTTGGTTTATTTCTGATGGAATGTAATTAGGATCAGTCTGGGTATACACATGCTGTACTTCAATACATCATAGTATGACTAACCACTGGGCCAGAGAGACTCAGTAGGGTGATTGGCTTGAGAGCTCTTGTTACATGATTCTGTCCAAGCATGTTTCTATGGCAAAGGTACATTTTAGGAGACATTGTATATACATTTCTGAAATCTAAGTTCTCTCGTACCTTGAACAATCAGCCTCCCAAAAGAAAATTAGTACTATATTGGGCAACACACTTAAAAAGATTTTTGCAAGAAACGATCTTCTACAAGCAGGTGAATTGATTGGTAAATATTTTCTCTTGCTTATATTTGTGAAACAAGTCAGAACTGCTCCTAGACCCATATTTTCAGCCTGTCACCTTCACATCAACAGTAAACTTTAAACTGTTCATACCATCTGTTACCATTATTGTTGAGTCTTTTGGACTTCCCAGCACTTCTTCCCTTTTCACTGACGGCAAGATATATTTTCCATTCTGGTATGATTTATTGTAGACATAAGGACATGACCCATGCTATCATAGCAGGAAGTACCAATTTTTAGGGAACTATATATTAGGGCCCTGTGTTCCTTGCAAATTAGGGTTTACATTACAGCATGGGTCTTAGAGGTGTTTTTGTGATCATGTCTATTGTTCATCTTAGGATAGGGACAAGCTTTTAACTACTTTAAAAGGGGAAGGAGAGCTGCCATCTGGGATGGTGCAATGCATGCTAGAATTTATCTGGTACATCTGCATGAGCCTTTAGTGATACAGGTTAGCTGTACCACCTTAACTTTGACCCTGAGCAAATCAAGTTCAAAGTGGAGCAGTTTTGCTACACTTGTATTGTTTCAGGATAATGAAAATATAACAGTTGTATTGGATCCATATCTTTTGATGGATATCAGTTTTACATCTGTCTATGCTCCACTCCCCCCCAACAATCATATCAATCTTTTTTCTGATACTCTTTAAAACTGTAGATGTTCACATTAAATAACCCCTCCCCCCCCTCACTCCCCTTCCTCCGTATAAAGGCGCCTGATTCTGTAACATTTAATTCCACCTGACTAGTTTCACTGTTCTGGAAATTATGAATTGAGAAAAAAGGGACCAACGCAGGTATTGCTTACCTCTGTATTACAGCCCTTGTGATGTCTCTGTGCAGCACAGGTTGCAGCTGAGGTCAGAAGTTTCATTGAATACATTTCTAAATCTATTTAACTGTAATTCTCAAACGTGGAGGTGTTGTGTTCAAACTGGGCTTCCTATTTCTGTGGCAGATAATCACATGCCCGGATAAAGGAGTCTCTTTCTTACCTTTAAATACAGCTTTGTTGACTGAAGAACACATCTAAATAGACTTTTCTATTTTATTCTATTCTGCACTGGTTGTTTTATCATACTTATATACCAGACTCAGATTCACAAAGGGATATAGAAACCTAACACCTTTTTTAAATCAATAGTGATTTAGGTGCCCAAACACTTCTGTGAATCTGGACATGAAAGCCTATAACAACATTTCTATGTTACTTCTTATGGTGGCCCAAATAATAAGTGATTGAGTATATATATATATTTGTGTGTTTAATTATATGTCTCAAGATGTAATCATTTTGTGACTTTAAGCATAGGGAGCGAGCATTTATACCATAATGTGTAGTTAAATTAGGTATTCTTGGCTAAAAATAGACAATTGCTTTGATTTGCACCAGAGTATCTTGGGGCACACCAAATCCAGACTTTACAGACAACCAAGCTCAATGCCCTGCATTAATTACCTGTGAATTATTTGAATTAACGCTTTGCCTTGGAACAACCATAGCTAATTTGACTTAATTGTCATTTAAACCTCATATGTACATGGCTGGACCGTGCACCTTTTGGTGAAGGTTACAGGACTGAGTCAGTATGTCTCCCACCAAGCCAGTTGTCTCTTTTTAGTCCTTCAGAACGGTGCAGGAAATAGAAGAAATTGTTAAGTGCTTGAAGCTCCTTCAATGAAAAGCAGTGTAAATACAAGGTATAATCTACTACTTACTAGGGGCAGAGCAATTAGGCTCTGCTGAAAAGGCCCAGGATGTGAATGAAAAGATTCTCATCAAATTCAATGGGCTTTGAATCTCCCTTTAGTGCGACTCAGCCCCTTGAAGGTGAATAGCAGAGATAAGTGTAACTGGATTGTATGAGCTGTTTATACCACCAGTTGTAGATCATAATTTTGTTTGGTGCAGGTGCCACCCTGCAGAATCCAATACAGTAGCTTCTTCAGGGCTTATGCTGTTATCAGCAATTTGAAAACTTCTTTACTACTAGTAAAGTGTTTCAGCCATCCAATATCTTTGTATTTTGATTGGCCATCCTCTTGACCAATGGATTTAGTCATTTCCTGGGTCAATAAATTATTTTATTCAGAAAAAACAAAAGAAAACCCCTACTTAATTGTAACATTTAAATGAGTGTGGTGGTATAAATGCACATTTCTACACAGTACCATTTTGCTTTGTTTTTGCTATCAATGAAGGTAAAGGGATTGATGAAGCTGAAGAAGTGACCTGTTTTGCAGGAAGTAATAAAGGCAGCAACTCTGAAGTTCAGTCTCTCAGCTCCTTCCAGTCAGATTCGGGCGATGATAATGGTAAGAAATGATTATAGCTTTACAATACTGGGAACAAGTGAGTGTTGGGGAAGTTGCTGACTTTTTTAACTATTCCTTCATAGAACCATAGATAAATAGGGAATGGCTCTCGGGAGTTCACATAGCCCAATCCCATGCTCGGTGTAGGATCATCCCTGTATAAACCATCCAAGAAAATGTTTGGCTAACCTGTACTCACCTTCCAATGATGTCAGTCTGTTCTGATGCTTGCCCTCATAAACAAAAGTTCTTCCTAATATCTACCATATTTCTTTGATTATGACTCGCGTGCTAAATTGAAATATTTCTTGTAAATGTAATATTTCTCACATTCAAATTTAAAAACGGCGTTCTACCCCTGTAAATGTGTATTTATTTAATTTGTTCTTAAATAAAGCATCATAAAAATAGGGAGTATTTTACATTTGAGGGGAGCCTTACCAAGGAATGTGGTAAGCATCTTGGGAATTTATCCAAAGTCCACCTACAGAGGCAGGATGGTAGATGATCCATTAAAGTCTGAGCAGAGAATTGGGGACCAGGAATAGAAATCCTCTCTCTGTGCTCCAAGCTGTTGTACCAAAGACCCACCTTTACAAGAATCTTCAAGATTTTGGGACCCAGGCAGGGCAACTTCCCCAAAATACCACAGTAATAAACTTGGATATAGGATTTTGATGACTACAGAAGCAGTGTTTTTCCTTCTTGGAGCAGGACTTTTCATTTTTCATGAGTCAGTTCAAAGAAAAACTTGGTGGGGGTTTTATTCAAAGTCTCATTCAAGTCCCCCAAGCCCCATTACCTTTCCGTACGCAGCAGTGAGCAACTTCTGATGACTTGGTCTAAGCTACTAATCTCAGCTAGATGAATGATAACACTCTCTTAAACCTCCCCTCCAAGAAAGTTTTTTGCTTGCCTACATACCCTAGATCATAATATTTTTATTTGACATGGACAGAATAATATATGAGCTAAGTGAGACCTACAAGGGCAGATCAAACTAGCAGTGGTCTGAGAAAAGGCAAGATGCTCCTGCCTAGCAGCAGTGATGGATGTTGTGGATGTCTTATTCATATCCACCAGCGAGATTATCACAAAGAAACTGCACACAGAATCTTCAAGAGCTCGTTAATGAACTGTCTGGACATTCATTCCCCAGCCATCTTGTGTAGCTCTTCCCAAGGTACTCTTAAATATTAGAAAGAGCACTTACAGTGAAGTGCACTCACAGTTCTTTTTGATTCAGTTGTGGCCTTTTTCCTCTGACAAGCAGCACAGACATTATTTCTAAGTCCATGAATGATTTTTTTCATGGAAAAAATGATTCTTCTCTTCATTATTATTTCTTTAGACTGTTTGCTTATTTCCTTGTATTACCCTGTCACACAAAATCACTTTTCATACCAACCAATTTTTAATTAGTACAAACACTGGCCTTCCAGGTATGTGGACCTGGTTCCATTTAACTCAATGACAAAACTCCTACAGAGAACAAGATTGCACTCTTTGTACCCATGCAGTTGTTGTGGAAGCAGTATTAAAATATGACTTTTAAAGATAAGACTTCTTGTTCAAGGTCTAAAGTCATCAAGTCTCTGATGCCCTCAAAGAAAATCAGGAAAACTATTAAGTCTTGTGAGTTATCCTGCAGTTGTTAGTACAGGTCAGCATGGATTGGCTCTTGTGAGTTTTTTCAGTGTAAAGACCCAAAAAATGAACACAGCCATAAACTGCCAAAGGCATACCAAATCTTAGAATCAGAAAAATGGGGCAGGAAGAGTCATCTGAAGGCCATCTAGCCCAACCCACTGCCGAAGGCAAGGTCATCCCTATCCAAACTACCCTGTACAAGTACTTGGGTTGCAGTTTCTTATCTACCTTATCTAAACTGAAGAAAGACTAGGGGGATGAGGGCTATCAGTGTCCTGCCACTGCAAAGATCATTAAAATACATCTAAGGGGTCCAAGGATGAGGACCTCAATGGAGAAAAGCAACCCCCCCCCCTCCCTAACAATCCATACCAATGTAACCATGAGGTAAAATTTCTTCCTGATCACCTTGGAGTTTTAATCCCAGCAGGAGCATTAACACACCCTGTCAAGTGCTTCTGAAGAAGAGGGAAAAAACCCTGACACCTGTAGCAACAGGAGGAGGAAAATAATTCCTTTCCAGCACCATGTGGCAACCAGCGAAGCCCAGAAGCATGAGGAGGACCAACCACCCTGCAACCTAGGGGCAAAAACATACCTCCATACGTCAGACTTCCTAACTAGAGATCTGAACTTCCTTTTCTGTATCCCCTTCATAAACACTTCCCTAAGCTGTTTAACCTTCCTTGTATAACTAAATCGGATGTGGTGTTCTGTCTTGTGTTCCTGCTGCTGAGTGTGGTCCTCTCTGTTATCCACATGGACATATTCATGCACATGCACACACACACGTTAGGTTGAAGGAACATCACCTGCTTGAACCTGCAAATGCCTCTTCACCTCATCATTCTACTCCACCTCCTGCTCCTGTGTTTCAAAGGCTACTAAAGGAATCAACCTGAACCCACACTACTGTTTAGCAAGCATTCGTCAAGGAGGGAGAAAAGGGTGACTGTCATCATAGTTCTTCCTTTGCAGGATGACCTTGACGTTACCTGCAGCCCTCAGTGTCGTCTTTTAGGTTTGGATAATGAAAACACCCAGGTTGTGTGATGGTAATTATTGAGGAGAGCAGCATGTTGTGACAGTTGTTAGTAAAACTAGGTAGCGTTTTTCATTTTGCAGTGACTCAGGAGACTTACTCAGCATCATGAAGTAAGCAAGCTTGTCTTGCTAGAGCTTTGAAGAACCCCTGCAAAAATACTATTCCAAACACAAGTCTTTCCTGCTTTTTCACAACAGAAGCACTACTACACGTGTCGGCAGTAGCCGTTCACTCAGCCATTCATCATTAGGAACCTTCTCTGGGCCTTCCATTGCCTTGGTGGGTTTTTCTCACCACTCTTATGTTTCCTTTGAATTGTTTTAAACAAGTCGATTTTTTTTCTCATGTCTATCTTAGTAATTTCTGATGTGTTAAAATTGTTCATCCCAATGTGCCCTGCTCAGAACTATTAGTGTTAATTTTTATCATCAACACAAGATGCAATGTCTTAAGATTTCTTATTAACCTGAAAGGGAAGAAGCTGCCTGCTTTCAGCAAAATAGCTTTGAGCTGACTTTAAAGGCAAGTTACAATTTCCTATGCAAATAATAAGAATGGGTGGGCTGAGGGAAACTTAAATGGAATGGCCCCTGACAGCAGGTTCTCCAAGGCCCTCAGTTGCTTCCAAAAAGCTAGAGCTGTTCTTGGATATGATACACCCTGAGTAAGGAGGGGGGAGATGGTTCCCTCCAGAGCAATGTGAAGAAGCTGAAAGCATAGCCTTTGCAAGCCAACAGAGTTGCCTCTCTTGACCATTCTCAGAACTTGACTCAGGTCCCCAGACTCACTGTCTGCCAAGAGGATGCATGGCTGCCCCTGATTTTTAGGGCGTTGTTTTTCACTTACCAGTTATGTGTGGCTCATGGGTGCCTGGTATGAACATGAGTCTTTCTTCAGGTTTTGCCTGTTTTCATTAGCAATAGAGTACAGAAGCCTTTATTCTGTCTTCAGCTTCTGTGGTCCAAATCTTGTGCTGGTCAACTGTGCAAGGGGGAAGCTGAGATTTTTTTAACAGGTTTACTTTAATCCTGTTGGTCACATGGAAGAATGCACTGAAGTGCTGCTCTGGAAAGACAACTCTCTATTTCTGGGGAAACAGAGGATTAAATAATGTCTAACAAGTCCTCTACTCTCTGTAATCCATGATGCATTAGCCAGGATGGGGCTGCATCCATGATGGTATCAGTAATATCAACACAGCTTGCAGATATGTGTTTATTTGGTTAACCTTAAATGCCTACTGCCAGGGTTGTGGATGTTGCCTTGGTTAACATGATATACCCCTGGTCCTTTGCTCCAAATTTAATGGCAGCCTCAAAAAGGTTAGCATATATTTTATTGTTGCTATTATTCTGTTTCCTCTATTTACTGCCTATCCATAATCAAAAATGAAAGGACTCAAACACCTTGATAATAGAGACTATTTTTGGCTCAGTAACAAGCCCATTTTCTCCATTTTTACATAAGCATTAAGTTGAGTCATAGTCATTCAGGATGGAAAAGACCACTCACACATGAAGGGCCTCATCCAGCACCCATTGTAGGTTGTAGGAACCCTCCCATTCTTTTCTGTGGGCTTTGGATCAGGCCTCAACTCCATGGTTGTAGCTCCTCAGTGTGGGGAAATGTGGGATATTAATCCATGTGATCTGACCTTTTACAACGGCTTGTTCTCAGATGATATCAAGTGCTATTTTCCTGAAGTTCAGATAAGCATCTTAACGGTGCTACTCTGAAACGCAGAATATTCTGGAGTCAGCTCATCCCTACATCCGAACCATCTCTGCAGTACCCTTTAGTCCTTTACCAACCAGAATCCAGACCAGTTACTTACTGGAAAATGTGTCTTTTGGCACAAGTGTTTGTTTAGAACCCACCAGAGATTTGCAAAAGCATTTTGTTTAACTGAGGTCAAAATTTGGGCTGAAACCACTAGACTGTGTCCTTTTAATTATAGAAACATTGCTGAATGTCCCTAAGGTGCTATCCTGAATAGTGTATACAGTAAATAAGTAAAACACTCCTTTTAGAAAATAGATTAAGATGAAGCCTTAACACCCTTTCAGATCAGCGCAATTGCCTAAAAGATAATGATCCCTTGGAACATGCAGCACTGCCTCTGGAGGCGTTTAAGTAAGAATTAATTAGAGATTAGTGTCAGGTAGACAAGATACTGCTTCAGTTAATTGAATCAGTTGGACAGTCCCCTTTGAATTTATGAGCTGATATCCATCATTGCATATGCCTTTTTGGAAGTTGTGGTTTGGAATTTATCACCGTTTGCCAATCCATTCTAAAAATCCATAGAGGATTATCTGGAATGAAATGTCCTGTGAACCACTACATAATTCATAAATGAGTTGGCAGCTTTTTTTTTTAATGTCAATTCTGTCTGTTTAAAAGAATTTATTGTGGTAACATAAAATGTGTGTTTTAAATACTAACCTAAAGCTGTCCTTCCCCTCCCTTTATTTTCTGCTCTCCCTCCCCTGCAAGCTTCCATAGTGACTGTCATACAGCTTGTCAACAATGTAGTTGACACTATAGAAAATGAAGGTATTTATTTTTTTCTTTATTATTCTGCCACTGCTTCCTTTTTTCTTTGTGAAACCTTACCGTAGAACCTCACTAATTTACACTGACCAGCAAACCCACTGCAAGTAATTTAGATTTCTAAATTAACAAGCTCACAGACAAACACGAGAAAATAAGAGCTAGAGTGATGTATTTGGCCTACACCAGGTGACATACAGCCCAAGGAAAGGTACATAGGGATTGATTCTGCTCTATTCAAGTCAGTAGGATATTTTTTTCATTGGCTTGAATGAAAGAAGGATCAAGTTCATAATGTAGCCAAATAGCTGCATCGAGCCTACATGAAGAAGGTGAGATAATGGGGAGTATGTATGGGAACTGTTCTACCCCTGATTGCATAGAGGCAGGAACTGGGGACTGTAGATTGGTAAAGACATGGCTAGTTTGTCCTAAAATAACACTGTGCCACTGTGTGTTATTCAGTAAATCACAAGCGTTATGACAACAGTATTGTGTGCCAGTCAGTCAGGGTAAGGCCTACAATCGCCCTTTGGCATTAATGTGAATGGAGCACTGGATTTGACTTGGGATACCTGAGCTGTAATCTCAGCTCTGCCACTGTCCCCTGGATGATTTTGGGCATTTCACTTCATCTCCTCATGCCTCAGTTACCCAGCCTGTCAAGACAGAGGTATTGTTACTGTATTTTCAGGGCAGTTCATTTCATCTTAATTGCTAGTGGCACTGGGATGTACTAATACTTTTGCTTGCTTATTTCCTGAGTTGTAAGGACATACCTTTCACAGTTGTCTCATTATGCAGTATCATTTAAAAACTAAAAACAATAAATATAAACAAAATAAAGCATTAAGTAACCAGTGTTAGCTCATCAAATAAACTTCACTCTGCAAAAAAGGAAAAAGGGAAAACCACCAGCATGGCACCCCAGCCACCTTGGACAGACGCTTAAGACCTCAGGCCTGTCCTACAAGTCAGTGGGACATATGGGTTATGCAAGTCAGCAAATTAGTGAGGTTCTACCAGAGAGTGAAAATATACAGCTCCTAAAGTACCCTGACCTAGGTACCATGTCTTTGGACTGACTGAAGACAGCTGGATTGATAGCATAATGCTGGTTACAAAAAGAGTGTGCACAATATTTGAATGTTCAGGGTCCTCGCAACCTGCAAGCCCCTTTCACCCTCCCCAGGCACACATCAGAGACCCGTTTTTGGCTACCATGCTATTAACTGATCGGGTTCCATCACCATGTAAACTGTACATTGTGCTTGGTGCTGAGTGACAGTTCTGTGCAGTAATAAGTGACAATAAATAGTCTGAAAGGTCTCCCACCCCATTTATCTCAGTCCTGGCTGGGTAACATAAATTTACAGATGTTAAGGCCATTAAACAACCATTATGATGATATAGTCTGCCATTCTGCAATAACGCAATCCAGAAGTGTTGCCCCATAGTTTCCTGCATGTAGCCCAGCACCTCGTGGTTGAATTAAAAAGTTTCTTTCAGATAACATAGCAACTTGTTCTCTTCCTCTGTTTAACACAAAACCTCCCCACACTGAAATGCCTTTCTCCCCAGCAGCTTGCACGGCAGAGCAGTTTGCAGCCCTTGGGGATGGAGTGGTGGGGCACAGATCCTTCAGTTTCTTAGCTGACAGTTGCATTAAATAGATTTGTACTCGGATCTATTAAAGTCCTTATGCTAGGCCCATCGTTGTGGTATCTGATTTGTTTGAAGCAGCCCTGAGAATGGCAGATTTGTATATTTCTGTTTCAAAGTGAATGAGAAAAATGGACTTAGTAGTTTTAAACCTCACAGCTCTTTGTACTAAGAATTCCAGCTCTGGTTTCATTTCATATCTATTCAAGAATGGCAAATAATTATGATGATGAGAGAAGAGGAATATGACTTACTGATACAAATGACACTGTAATTTATCCACTTATGCCTATATTTGACTGGTCCAGTTTATCTTGCACATTAAAATATAGAACAATTAAAAATGCTGCTTAAACAGCATAGAACCAGCTGAATTTTGGAAGTATGCATGCCATAAGAGTTTTATATTTTCACATGTAATCCTGTCCTGGTAACAAGCTTTGAATTACCAGTTTTTACTTTCCACTTTGTATCTGACAGTGTCTGTTATGGATCAAGGACAGAACTACAACAGAGGTGACTTTTCTGAGACACTTTTTGCCTGTTGGACTCTTCCAGGGAGGGGAGGGCACTGGTTTGGTTTCCTTGTTGTTGACATGCTTCATCTGTCTTCTCACTTACAAATGTTGTTGCGTCCAAGTTCTGCATGAGTGGTGCACTGAGTTTTGCCATCCAGTTCTTATTTCAGGGACCAGCTGAAGTTTTCAGTCTCTCAGTCATTCACTTTTTGTGTCTTTATACTTGCTTTTTTGAAAGGACAGGTGGGGGCATTAGGTGGGATCTTGTGAGCATGCTGGATGTATATTTTAATCCCGGTGGAAAATATTAATTTGCAAATGTATAGCATTTTGTTTCTTAGACTCATAATTTCTCATATAACTCACTAGCATCCTTCAATATGAAATGCCTTACACTGGTCATGTTTTGTTCTTTGAATGTTTTTGTTGGCATCGTGACATGATGTTGTTTCTCCTCCCTCTGGTCAGAGCATGGCTGACCAGTGTTAATGAGCTATAACGCATGCTGATTGCATTACATCTGCAGTGTACATTTGTTGTGACTATAAGAGTTTGCTCTTTAATCACAAAGGAGCATGCAATAGATTTTTGGTTTTCTTAGAAAGTTATACTCAGGGAGTCATTGTGGGTTTGTTTCCTGTTCCAGCTTATCATTGGGACACCTCTGATTGGATGCCAAATACTCGCTTATCTGACATTGAGGAAGTGCCCAATTACGAAACCACGGATGGAGGCTCAGTTCATCACGGCAGCACAAGAGAGCTGGAGACAGATTACTACCTTGGCGGCTATGATATTGACAGCGACTACCCGCCTCCTCACGAAGAGGAGTTTTTAAGTCAGGACCAGTTACCGCCCCCTCTCCCTGAGGATTATCCAGACCAATATGAAGCCCTTCCACCATCGCAGCCAGTTTCAATGGCCAGTACACTCAGCCCAGATTGCAGGCGACGGCCGCAGTTCCATCCTAGCCAATACCTCCCTCCTCATCAGTACCCCAATGAGACAGACACTTCTGGGTCTCAGACTGGGAATGAATTTAGTACTTTTGCTGTGGTCCCAGGTCAGAAAGCAGAAAACATTAGTGCAGGTAAGATGCCCTTATCATTGCAAAACTCTCTGGATGCCTCCTCATCCGATGTCTCAGCCAGCTGTGGCTTTGATGATTCTGAAGTGGCCATGAGTGACTATGAAAGCGTGGAGGAACTCAACCTGGACAATATTCACATTCCATTTGTGGAGACTCAGCAGCAGACACAAGTGTAAAAGAGACTTTTTTGTCATTTGGTCCAATTAACAGTATAAATATTGAGAAGAATTTTGCTAAAGATGTATCTATATATATTGGGCAAGGCAGAAAGGCAGTATAACTTACTATTAACTTGTTCAGAAATGATACTGTATGTGCAGATACAAAGAGACCAAGTGTGTTAAAAGTTATGCCACAAAATTGTTACTGACAATCCAGAGAGTATGTACCTTCTATTTATTATCCAGCATATACAGAGTTTGAGTGAGGGGTCACAATTTCATGTTTATGTTATCTTTCCCCTTTCTCCCCCAGTTTTGTGTAGTATTGTATTATTAAAAGTGTTACGGTGTTATAATCTCCCCATAGTATTAGTGAACAGGTAAGGATGTTTCCAACAGGTATTGCTGCATGACATTTTGTGTCAGGTGAAGAATAGGAGAAATTGATAATTTAGGCTTCTTTCTACCCTGACACAGCATAGACCTAAACAGAAACACTTCTGATGCTGTTAAAATAGCATTTAAAAGTCATAGAAGTCATAGAAAAGTGGGACTGGAAGGGATCTGCAGAGGTCCTCTAGTCCAACCCCATTTCTGAGGCCAAATCATCCCTATCCAGACCATCCCACATAAACCATAGTCTAAACTCTACATATGAGTGCCCTCATCCCTGACACAAGATAGACCTAACACCCTAACCTACCACAGGTAAAGCAGGAGAAACACAGCAGCCAATGTCCTGCTTCTATGAAAGGTTGTCAAATTATGCTCAAGAGGTCCTGGAAAGGGAGCCAAACCCTCAGAAAATCCCCATAGTCTATACCAATCTGACCATGGGGTAAAATTCCTTCCTGAGCCCAAATATGAGAATCGGTCTGACTCTTCACGGAGGGGCAAGACCCTCTAGGCAGGAACCTCCAGCTTTGCTCCTAGCGGGAGAATCATCAAACCCCAGTTGACGTCCTTAGCCTTAGCTGTAGGCATAGCTATGCCTAGATCATCCCCAACCAATGGCTGTCTAACCTCTGTTTGAACACCTCCAGTGATGAAGAGTCCACAACTTGCCTAGGCAGTATATTATACTGCCTCACTATTATCATAGTGAAGACTTTTTTTGGTTATTGAATCTAAATATACTTTGCTGCAACTTCAAGCCATTTTCCACATCCTTCTCTCTGCAGCAGCAAAGAAAAGGTGCTTTCCTTCTTCTTTATGGCTTCCCTTCAAGTATTTGAAGAGTGCTATCATGTCCCCTCTTAAACATCTTTTCCGCAAGCTCAAGATGTCTAGCTCCTTCAGCCCTTCCTCACGTGTCTTGCCTTTCAAGCCCTTGATCATCTTTGTTGCCCACCTCTAGACCCTCTCTAATTTCTCTTTTTAAAATGTGGAGCCCACAACCACATGCAGTACTCCAGATGAGATCTACCACTGGCAAGTAGAGCTGTACTATCACCTCTTGTGTCTTGTACCTAATGCTTCTGTTGATGCAACCCAAAATCACAGTGGCCTTTTGTGTGGCTACATCACACTGCAGACTCATATTGAGTCTGTGGTTTATCAAGACTCCCAAGTTCTTTTCCAGAGAGCTGCCATCCACCCAGGTGTCTCCCATTTTGTATTTGCTTTTTTTGATTATTCCTCCCAAGGTGCAACACTTTGCATTTGTCCACACTGAATTTCATCCTGTTAGTTCTAGCCCAAGTTTCCAATCTGTTGCGATCCTTCTGAATTGCGCTCACATCCTCCGACATGTTCACAGTCCTTCCCAGTTTCATGTCATCTTCAAACTTGCTGTAGAAGCTTTCTGTGCCAGCATCCAAATTGTTAATAAATGTGCTGAACAGCACCAGGCCCTGTAGCACTCTATTCAAAACCCCCTGCCATTCTGCCACAGACCCATTAATAATTACCCTTTGCTTATGGCTAGTGAGCCAGTTATCTATCCACCTTATAGACTTTTATCCAGCCCACAGTTTTCCAATTTGTTAATGAGAAGGTTGTGCAGGACCTTGCCAAAAGCCTTGCTGAAGTCCAGATACACAGTATCCACAGCATTCTCTTCAACATGTCAAAAATAAGTTACTGGTCATCTGTCCACAAATACTTACCTATAGTTTCATATATATGAGTGAAACTGTAGATAAGTATTTATGGACAGATGGCCAACTATTGATAGAATTTATTTCTAGCTTGTGTACATAGAGAGACACATATATATACTGTGCATATTTTACACCAATCTATCAGTCCTAAAACTTAATTTCAGGGCCTTAAATAGTGAAAATTTCCAAATATTGCAAAGTTAGACATGCTAACAGCTAGGCTCTGCCCTGTCGTACATGCATGCATCTCCTATTGAACTTGCATATGGAATGTGAACGTGCATTTGAGGATAGGCCTAAGCCCCAACTACCACATTGTGCTGATGTTATTTTTACCTTCTGTGCATTGGCAACAGATTTTAATGGCAGTAAGCATGCTATGGCGTTCCCATGAAACTGGTTGTAATTAATTTGCATACAGCATTCTGTCACTGTCTTAAGTTAGTAGGTCAGCTGCAACTGGAGAACATCCATCCCTAGAGTCTGTGGTGTAAGCCTTAGGTTATGTAAATTAACATATTCATTTGGAGCTGTGTTGATTTATAGTAGCTGAGAACTAGCTCTGTGTTCTTTGCTTAATGCCTGGGGTTTTCACTCTTCCAAACTTCCAGAGATACAGAGCGGAGTATGCTGCAGTAGAATATTGTAAGACAGTAAAACACCACACAATCAGGCTGGTTGGAGTAGAAGTCCTCAGGTATTTATTAGCCTGAGCAGTTTAAATGCAATCTGGGGATCTGTGATTTTCACTCATTGCAGTGAGAATACACAGATGCCCTTTGCCCAGTGCTGTGAAAATATTGTTTCGCCATCATTGCAAGCAGTTTTATAGCATTTGTGTGTCTCTATATTCTACAATGAATAGCATGTCTGCAGTTTCCATTGTCCTAGCTACTTCCTTCTACAGCAGAATCTGTCATTCTGAAGCTCTATTGAGTAAGTAGGTCATTATGGGCTTGGGGATGCTCTAGCAGTTTTCCTATTTCTGCTTCATCCTACTTTTGATCATACAGTGCAACTGGGTTGTTTCACTGCTTGTATTTTATGATGAGATATTCTTGGCTGAATTGAATTTTAGTCATAAGTTAGTCATTGGCCATTTCTTATCATAAATTGATATTTGTTCACATACTGCCCCCTGGGAAAACAGAAGAATGATTGTAGCTTGTAACACTTTTAATAAAACTGGATATCTACATTTTACAGCGTGCTTGGTGCCTCTATCCAATATTAGTAAGGGATTGGGAACACATGGTCTTTTGGATCAGATCACAATTCTTTATGAGAAAAAAAAATTAGTTACCATATGAAGAGGTACGTGAATAAAAGAGGTGGGCTTCTAGGCAACAGGATGTACTGCACATACAAGTATTATGAAGTACTTGCCCATATATAGTTTCTGTTCATTGAATTTATGATTGTTATTTGGTTGGTTTCCTCAAAGTAGACATGCTTCTGTAACAGTGATACGTTCTGAATGTGTTCATGCTATGTTTCAGTCCCCTTTCCTTCTCCCCCATCACCCCCATGGTATCACAAAAAGTATATTAGAAATCTGTATCACAAATTTCAAGGAAATTGAGGGATTTCCTGACAAACCATGGAATAGTTTAGCAAAGGCTGAGGCACAGATACAGTTACGCAGAATGACTGTACATTACTGGTAAAGTTTACAATGCAGAGAAACAGTTGCAAGGAATAAATTAAAATAACTAGGAACATTTAAGGATAGGGACATTTACGGTGTTTAAAAGAATAAAAAGCTGCAAGTTTAGCTAATGTGCAATAGTTTTAAGGCTGACATGAATTTTCAAGAATCGAATCCTCTTCGAGCGCATGGCTGTGGTATACATGGGGTTTGCTTCAGTTGAATGTGTTGTAGTACATTTTTAACTATTCTGCAGTTGATTCTGTATTAGCTCCCAACTAGTTACTAAACGGACCCACCATCTTTTTTCTGTTATGAAAGTTTTCAAGAGATGGATGTTTCCTTGCGATACTGATATCTAAAGTTATTTTCCTTACGAGGGCATATCAAAAGTGTCACAAGGGGTAATACAGCTGGGAGTGCAGCAGTTGCCAGACCAGAAAAGACCAAACTTGTTGCCTCCGTGACATCTTGTCAGTAGTGAGTTTCACAGATAAAATACATAAACCTTAAACATACACCGCTTCTTCTGTGTTTTACATTTTATTGCCATTTCATTTCATCAAGAACCTGTCCGTTAACATGTGGCACAGACGGATAAATCAGAGTACCTCTTTAACCTCCTCTGCTCCATTCGTCATGTTCTAAACCTCCGAATCTTCTCTCCAGGTGAAATAGAGCCAGTTGAATCAGTCTCTCCACAGTCAGAAACGCCTGAATGCTTAGCACCACTTCTGTTGCCTATTTTTCTTCTGCTTCTTTTTGACAAAGTGACCAAATGTGAAAGCAGTTCTCAAGGTGAGACTCCTATGCAGGATTGACAGCATGGAAGAAACATTCAATTCTTCTCTCTCCTCAATATGGCTCTGTATTTTATTGGGGTGTTTTCAATTATTGCTGTAGTTTGATGAATCCTAACATCCTCTGTGCTCTGCTGGGAGGCCATTAGTGCATGATAAAGGAATTGTTCCACCTAACATGCATTTCCTTGTCCAACGTATGAAGATTTTTTTTTGTTTTTGTTTCCGAGGTACCTAGTTGGGTCAGACATTTCTTGAAAATCCCTGCTACTTTTAACTATCATAAATGATTTGTGCCTGTATCACAAATCATAGTCCTGCAGGTGGCTCTATGACATCATATTTCCCTTCAGATTCAGCTGTGGGAGAGCTCTCACAGAAATGCTTTGAGCCTTTTTGCTTCTCAATGATATTCCACAGCAGAACCACATGGTTAAAGACACTCTTTGTTGTTGTTGGGTTGTTTGGGTTTTTTGCTAAAAAAAAAAAAAAAAAAA